AGCGGCTGATTGTATTAAATATAAGAAGCGCTTTCTAGACTGTACAAGAAGTCAGGTCTAATCGTAGAGCGTCTTGCGGTTAGATTAAAAATAAGAAAAAATTTGGGTAACAGACCGTGTCGTTGCCTAGGGCTAGTAATTTCATAAGATAACGAAATTTGATACCAAAGTTGATTAGACGAGTCAGTCGAGGGTGTAGACAGAACCGTGAACTAGAAAGTTCTCTTTATTTATTTATTTTTATTTTCATTGTTTAGATATTATTTTCTTTATTAGGATTTTAGTTAATTTAATTCTTAAATTCAAAACCCCCCCTCTTTTTATTGCTTTCAATTCAATTAATACGAGAAAGTCACAATTTAATTCACACTCCTCGTGGGATCGACCCTTACTTGCCACTACTACTAGCTAGTAGAGGTTAGTCGAGGAAAATATAAATTTTAATTTTGCCGCGTTGCGATGCGCTTTCAAAGTTAGCAATTTAGGGTCCATATCTTCTCCAAACTCCAACAAATCTCTAACTGCAGCATCACAACATCCACCCTCAAACTCTATAAATCTCCAAGATGGTGAGAAGCAAATTGTCCAATTCTAAGATCATCTTTCAACTGGCACCTCTCCAATATGGTGGCTTCTAACTCTATTCCTGAAAATTCTATCGCCCACACACCATCCTATAACCCAAAGCCAGTAACACAGAGAACAAGATCTCATTGGAGTTGGATACTTCTTCCCTAGCCATACCTCAAGGAAACAAAATGATGGAAATTTAACTGGAAATCTTGTTAGAGGTATGCTGCAAAAGCTCAGTTTTGCAGACTCTAGCAATTCCATTTTGATCTGGCCATCATGTTTTGGTGAAAGTACATATGCTTGCAGTTTATTTATTTATGCAATCATACTCCTTGTCTTACATTGAGATAGTGTGGTTCGAAGTGTTTCGAACGGAAAGATCACCTATCAGTTCCTTGTAAGACTAAAATATTCGTTCATAGTCTAGACAGGCAGTGAGACCCCTCTTGGAAAAAGACTGTAGTGTATTCTTGATTTGGTTGGTCTTTGACTGGAGAATTACACTAGTACTTATGTTAAGTATTGAACAGGACCACAAAAGGAAAAGATTATGAGACTCACTGACCGTTGTTGTAATCTAGACCTTCAGTATTTGATGCATACTCTTAAGCTGTAAGATAATATAAAATGGGCATATGTATTCATTACTTGTTTATTTGATTTACCAAGGGTGATTCCTATTCTGCTAGGATGATATACTCCGTATTTTGGTAAATGAGTGTGCTTATATGATGTGCCGTTATAAATTATTTACTGTCACTGTGTCCTAGTGCGCTGGGTTGATGACGTCCCCGAAATAAGCTCATGAAGGAATATTATGTCATGCTCTGCAGGCTGATGTGTTATCCGGCATAATGATTAAGGATCTGAGTGGTACTAGTTTCGAAAATGAATAAGAAGTTGATTAATTATTTTGTCAGTAATTTAATTAATCAACGGACGTTATATCTTAAACATGGGGAGATAAATTGGTCAATTAGATTAATATAATTTAAGCAGCGGAGACGAATTAATTGTAATTCAGAGCTACATGGGGAGAGCAATACTATTACTCTAGTGAAAAGTTTTATTATTAAATTCTAAATTAGAAATTAGGAATTAATTATGTTCCATATTTCTCTAAGGATGAGAATATTCATTCTAGAATATTACTTAAGGTTAGGAGACTATGGAGTCTTCTAGAAGGTAATTAAATATTAGGAATATTATCCTAGATGGGAAAAGGAGATGGAAAATAATAAGGATTCCTAAACCTGATAGAATAAGCCCATATTTAGCACCTCATTTTGGTCCCCATTGTAGTCTATAAATACACTAAGTCCCTTGCCTCCCAAGATGTATCACACATTTTTCTCACCCCGAAGGACTGGAGAAATTCGGTCCTACATGTGTGAGAGAAAGAGAGAGATTCTTCTTCGAGAGAAAATTCGGTTAGCGCCAAGAGGTCTTAGAAGAAGAAGATCGAGAGGCTTTGGAAAATCTAATAAATAGCTCCACCAAGATTTATTAGAGATCATGTAAATGTCATACAATAAAAGATTTGAAGGTTGTTAATTTGTATCCCGATGGATATATTATTTTTTCGACAATCCCACGGCTTCCGAAGACATCCAACAAGCAGCCAGAAAATTCATGTTCGCGCCTAGGTTCCTAGCTTCTGTCCGTGGCCCAGCAGGTCTTCAACTCGCGTGTGCCCAGGTCTTGTTCTTCAACCCATTCCCTCACGCGCGATCTAGGTAAGGAGAAAGCCCAACAGTAATACGCACGGCCCAACGCCACGGGCCCAAATGCGCGTGCGATCCAGCAGGAAAGGAGAAGAAGCACGCGGGCCACTTCAGCCCGCTCGGCCCGCGATCTCTGACAGCTCCTGGCCTGATCACAGCCCGCATTAAGGCCCATTTCAGCATCTTGCCTCCTTGGCCCAATTGCAGCGTGTCCGCGGCCCACCAGCCTCATACGCGCGGCCCAGTGCGTGCTCCTTGAGTCCAGCGCGTGTCCCTTCGGCCCAGACGCAACCAGAAGGCTACCAGACCGTCCCAGACGCGTCCAGCTCGCACCAGACTAGTTCAACTTGGTCCATAAGCTCCGATTCGAGTCCAAGATGGTTCCCGAGCAGTCCGACTAACTTATCGAAGGTCCGAGACAACCCGATGAGCTTGACAAACGATTGAAGCACCCCGACGACTCGATTAGAATCGAGAAAGGACAAGTTCGGCTGCCCATAGAACTTTGGTGTTCAGACGATCTCCATCAACGGAAATCAGAAACGTCTCAAAGTCTGCAAAAAAATTTAAACTGTAAGTCCCAATCCTAACTATAGATTCCGCTGTGTTAGGATTTATTATTCAATAGATTTGAATGTGCACATTGCCGACGTTCCTAATAGAACCCAACAAATACAAGCCCTAGCAATCCCCATTACCATCAAGAATCATAATATCAATAACAAAATTCCTACCAGTGTCAAGCATAAAACCTGGAAGAGAGCACTTAGTAGAGAAGACAAGCTTCAAAGAAAAAATGATCAAGAGCTAATACCAGTGGAAGCTCAGGGTTCTAAAAGGACAAGTAATGAGATAGCAGATCCATCTCAGACTACAGAAGATCATACAATTGCTACTGCAACAGGTAAGAAGCTAAAAGTGATAGTGGGACAGGTGGGGGGCTCCCCAAAGAGTTTTTATCTATTTTTGTGCTTCCGCAAATTAATTTATCTCTTTGTTGCAACATAACTGCCTACTCTATACTCATATCCTCGTTTCGTACACTTTATCAATTATCTTCGTCGTGTTGCCGTGTAGTTTATCGCATAAGTTTTTTCGCACTTAATCAATTGTTTTTGTCTGTCTGTCTCATAGTTTATCACACAAATATTTCACACTTTACCATTATTTTCGTTTGTATGTCGTTATCGTTTAATTTTTTCGCACTTAGTGGGGCGAAAAAGTCAAGTTATCTTTTAGCTGTGTGAAAAAACTTAGTCTGTTTTTAGGATTGGGTAAAAATATTTATTTCTTTTTTTGTTTATCTATGCATGTTGTAATATACAATTATTAATTAACATTTTATTACTTTATATATCACAAAAATAAGTTTACCTATTATTGTATTTCTCATAAAATATTATTTTGCAATTACCAAAAACTACTTTCCTCAACTTGAAATTTTTATGGCTGGCAATAGGGCTGAGTATGAGACTCGGAGAATCCTGAACTGTTTTGAAAATCGAACCGAAAAATAACCGTTGATCGTTTGACTTTTTTCGAACGTTATGCCGTTTGAAAAAACAAAAAGACTTTCTCCGAAGCGAATCGAACCGAAAATATAATTGGTACGGATGTGGAGATTTTACAAATATCCTTACTGTGAACCGAACCGAACCGTCTTATCCCGTAGCGAACCAAAGAACCAAAATTAAGAACTGCATTATAACATTTGATGTGTGTTATTAATATATTTTATGTCAACTTTGATACTATATAATTTGAGAAATTATAAAATACAAATAAAATATAGTAAAAACAATTAAGTTTCACTTAAATTTAATGCTTAATAATACTTGATCTATAATTGAATTTTTCTATGATAAAAAAAATATGTATGGAGGGCTAAAGAATATTTATTTAGGAAAAAACTATATATATTTTGTTTGAATTTTATTTTTCAATATTAGTTTCACAAATTTAGTCATAACTAAAATTTAGATTTATTTCTAAAGTTGATTTCAAAATAAAATTTTAATACGAGGAAGTATTGATGAATGTTGATTTTTTAAAATATATAAAAATTAAAGAACTAAAATTTAGATATAATTCTAAAGTTGATTTCAAAATAAAATCGTCAATATGGTGAAGTATTGATGAATGTTGTTTTCTTTAAATATATAAAAATAAAAACATAACTCGGTAGTCATTAGAAAATTACAAAAATAATAAGAAATCTCCGAAGATCCGAAGTGAATCATACCAAATCGAACCGTTTCGATAGTCCCGAATATCGAACCGAACCGAACCGAAAAATAAAAATCTCTGAAACGAAACGTCCTGATTTTTTGTTACGCTTCCGGAGATCGATATCTTATGATCTCCAAATTTCGGTACGGTTCCGGAGATTTCTCAATCTCCGAACCGTACCGACCCGTGCTCACCCTAGCTGACAAGTACAATGACCGAAGATGGAACATTTTCCTTGTAATGCAACTTGTAGATGTACTTATCTATATAGGTTCCCGTCTACATCACATGATGGGCCAAAACTGAACAAAAATATTAGGGTAGGAATCATGAAATAAATTTCTTGCTCACTAAATTGATGCGGATTATAACTATAAATATGTTGATCATTTGCAAACCGAAAACACATCTACCACTGCCTATTAATACTTATCAATAAGCAGCACACTATACCATACAAGCAATTACATAAAAATGTCTGCTGCCACCACTTTCGTTCCGCCGCCAAGCTGGCAAAACGGCCGCCCGCCGGTTGTGTTCAATATCGAAAGCAACTGGGAACGTATATTCGCCTCCTTTACTTTGGATCATCAGGTGTATATATACATATATACAAGCTGCATTGCCATTTTCTTTTTTTATTGCATTCAAGGCTTGGATTTGATTCTATTAATACTAGTACGTACTCCGTGCGATGCACAGGACAAAGATATTAAATGAGTTATTTTCACAGCCTTGTTCGTTTAAGTCTAAAAAGTAATAATGATATTATCTATTTTCTACCCCTTTTAATCAACGTTAAGTCTAAAAAATTATTAAGCCGTCATCTGGCAAATATGTATGGAGTTATGTGTTCGTGTCTCATAAGTCACAAACATTATTAATAACATTACAAATTATTCATCAAACTTTTATTCATTGCAAATATATTAAAATAGTTTATATAACAGCCATTAAATACCACTTTCAGTATATTTATAAATAAAACGTACATAAAATTTCTTGTGTGTTCAAGTTTAAATATTTTTTGATGGGCTCAATTTTAAATCATCCAGACATTTGGTCAAACGCATAGGTGTGTTCAAATTTAAATCATTGGCATTTTGGTCGGTTGAAATTTATATCACTAACCATGGTACTGTGATGTGTATTATATATATACAATTTTTTAACAAATAATATGTGCTTTATAAAAATATAATAATAATTTCACAAGATTTTAAACGTAAAATTTGGTTTTTAATCACAATAGAAAAATCATGTTAAGTTGTATTGAAAATGTGTTATGAGATAAAACAATTAACTAAAATAATTAAATAAAATACTTGATGCAAATATAATGCATTAATTATTTTTGACTTTTTTACTACTAATTCTAGTAAATAGAATGCCTTTTTATATAAGTATAGATTTTGTATGTGGTATAGGATTTTTTCTGACATAGCGAACACGCACACATGCAGGTTCAGGAGAAATATGCGGAAGCCATTTTGGAACTCAAAGAAGAAGCAAGGAGCATGTTAACAATTGCTAAGGGGAAAACAATCAGTGAGAGGATAGTACTAATCGACACACTCGAGCGTTTGGGGGTTGGATATCACTTTGATCAAGAGATTGAGGATCAACTCGAAGATATATTGACCAAGTTTGAGTCGGGAGACGAATTCGGCTACGATTTGTTCACTACTTCACTTGGATTCCGTATACTGAGGCAGCATCACCATTATGTCTCTTGTAGTAAGTTTTACTTCCTCAAATCTCTCTTTATTTTAGTGTTGACGAAGCATATTTCCTCAAATTTATTGTTTGGATTCTACCTCAAACTATTAGATTTAGAGATTTGTGGAATAGGGGGGACAACTCATAAGTGGGACTATTCGATACTCCAACACGCCCTCATTTGTGAGTAGTGCTGTCAAAACAGCCTGTGGCCCGTGGACCGGCCCTTCTTGCCCCGCGCACGGGGCTGGCTGGGTCAGAATATTTTAGGCCCGCTGGGGATCCGGCCTAAACGGGTTGGCCTGCACGGGCTGCAGGCCAAAGTAGCGCGGGGCGGGGCGGGGCGGGGCGAGGTAGCCCGCCGGCTGGCCCGCGGATAAAAAAAATGAAATAAAAAAGAAATACATAAATATAAAAATAAGTATCTTCATTACTTCTTTTCGAACGATCGCAACTCTTTATGCCGAAAACCAAGCTAACCCTAAATCACCCTCTGCCAATTCGCCCCGCCCTCTGCTCTCACCGTGTGCCACCATCGGACATTCATACTTCGTGGCCCAAGCTACTCTCAAGCACCGGAACTGAAACCCGATGGACGGTTTCGCCGGCAGATTTCAGATTATCTCCGCTACACCGCAACTGTTCCCTTTCAGACGACGCTCGACGACTTCATTCCTCTTGATTTGGCTTCACCTTGGCTTCAATTTATCTTCGATCAGACTGAATTTGTGAGTTTTTTTGGCATGTGAGCTTGGCGTTGTGATTTTGAGTTTACTAACTTTCGTATTGCCTGTAATTTTGTCCCGATGAGCGCTAATTGGTGTTGACCTGAAGTCTTGAAGGATTTGAATTGTGTTTGTAAATTTGCCCATTCAAATCAAAACCTTGGCCCTGCTTCCTTTTCGTTACACTCTGTGGCTCTCTCCTAATGTTCTTTTTAATATGGCGGGCCTGGCCCGCCAAACCTGCGGCCCGAGGCGGGGTGGGTTGGGCCTGACTTTCTTAGGCCCGCCAGGATGCTGGGCTGCCGACCCGTTTTGACAATTCTACTTGTGAGTAAGCTCAAGCCCAGAACGGACAAAGTTGAAATTTGATTGTAGAGATTAATTAAACTCACTTGTGAGTAATCAGAAGCCCAGAACTAGGGTGAGCAAAATCGAGCCGAAACTGAAAAACGCACCTAACCGAGCTATTTGGTGCGGTTCGGTGCAATTTTTGGTAAGTTCGGTTATCAGTACGGTTTGGGTTTTGAAAAACCGCACGTATTTCGGTGCGGTTCGGTTTTCTTTCGAATGGTGCGGTTTTAACAGAACTGCACCGAATGATCATTTTTTTTTTATTTTTTTAATAAAATATCACCTTAATTTTTATAATTTTACTTACATAACATTAATTGGTGGTTATATTTTTTAATTTTGGTTAACCGAAAAACCGAACCGCACCGAACCGAAATTTTCAGTTCGGTGCGGTTCGGTTTTTCCTTCTATAACGGTGCGGTTCGGTGAAAAAAAATTAAAAATTCGGTTTTTGGTTTTTTTCGGTGCGTTGCGGTTTTTGATCGAACCGCACGGATGCTCACCCCTCCCCAGAGCAGCGCGGCTAGAGATTTACTTGTGGAGGAGTAAATCCAAGCCTTAGCAAGTCGGGCAGAGATTTACTTGTGTAGGAGTAAGCCCATGCCCAACTTGTGGAGATTAAAATCATTTGTGAGTAAGCCAAAGTCCAGAACATGTCGGGTAGATATTAAAATCACTTGTGAGTAATAGAAGCCCAGAGCAGCGCGGCTAGAGATATACTTGTGGAGGAGTAAATCCAAGCCTTAGCAACTCGGGCAGAGATTTACTTGTGTAGTGTAAGCCCATGCCCAACTTGTGGAGATTAAAATCATTTGTGAATAAGCCAAAGTCCATAACATGTCGGGTAGAGATTAAAATCACTTGTGAGTAAATCATCACATGTTCTAGATTGGGCCCATTCTGATATCATAGAAGGATGCAGTCTGATAGAGGCGAATCACATCATAAAATGATGAGTTTAGGTTCACCGTAGTAAATCTCAAAAGTGAATTGCTAAACACCGCCCCTGGACCGTTTTGCCCCTAACAGTTTTTCAAAACCCTAAAAAATATATATATCTGGCCGGTAGCGCCAACCGGCCAAATTTTCTTTATTTTTTTTTTACAAATCAATTTTTTATTTATTATAGAAATTATGTTAGATTTAGAAATTATTATGTTATAAATTTAAATTTATTATTATGTTGGAACTTAGAATTCATTATGTTATGAATTAAGATTGATTAGCTTATAGAATTTATTATCACTACGTTAGTAATTAGAAATTGTTATGGTATAAATTAAAATTGATTATCTTGTAAAATTATTTCTTACAATATTCAAAATTTAATTAGTATTAGAATTAAATATTTATTCTGGAAAAAGTATTATTTTTAAAATATAACTATAAATCATTATGTTATTTAATGTATATATTTTGTTAGTAGACAATAATTATAAATGTTATATTATTTTTTATAGATAATTAGTATTTTGTTACAGATAATTAGTATTATCGTATATAACATAATAATGTATAAATTCTAACATAATAATAATAAAATTATATAAATAATCACTTATATTTTATAATATAATGTTTTCAAAATTCTAACTTTAAGATAATAAAGTCTAATTTATAACATAATAATATTTAAATTCTAACATAATTTATATAATATAAAAATTTGATTATTAAAATAAAAATAGCGCGGCCTACCGACAAAACCAGCCATGGAAGGTGAAGCCAACCGGCAAAATCAATCGTGAACGGTACGGGTGGTTTTGCCAGCTTGCTGGCGAAAGATTTATTTATTTATTTTTACTTTTTTTATAAAAAATGTCAGGGGCAATAATTATTTTTAAAATATAACTATAAATCGTTATATTATTTAATGTAAGTTTTTTGTTAGTAGACAATAATTATAAATGTTATATTATTATTTTTTTTTTTACAGATAATTAGTATTTTGTTACACATAATTAGTATTATCTTATATAACATAATTATTTATAAATTCTAACATAATAATAATACAATTCTATAAATAATCAATTATAATTTATAATATAATATTTTCTGAATTCTAACTATAAGATAATAAATTCTAATTTATAACATAATAATATTTAAATTCTAACATAATTTATATAGTATAAATATTTGATTATTAGAAAAAAAAATTGTGCGGCCTACCGACAAAATCGGTCGTGCACGCCAACCGGCAAAATCGACCATGCACGGTGGGGCTCGATTCGCCGGCCTGCCGGCGGAAGATTTATTTATTTGTTTTTACTTTTTAGAAAAAATGTGAGGGGCAAAACTGTTCAAAGGGGGGGCATTAAGTAGTAACTAGTTATCATCCTGTGTACATGCACAAATGTACATAAAATATTATAAGTAATATATGTGAATTTAATATTAAAATTATAGATGATAAACATATCACATTTTCAAGACATGTGAATTTAATATTAAAATTCTAGATAATAAACATATCACATTTTCAAGATATGTGAATTTAATATTAAAATTCT